AACAAATAATTTATTTCTTCTTTAGAAAGGGCAAACATGAGAATGTTAGATGCGTGTAACCTGAAAAAGTAGAGATTAATGTGAAATAATTTGTCATAAAAGAAACAAAAGACTTCCATACAAAATACCAATTCACTATAAATGTACTTATTGCAAAAAAAAGCAACAGATGAAAAAGATGGTTCAGGTAATTGGCCAATGAGTATTATTTTGGATACTATCAAAGTACACCAAAATTTAAAACGTTGGAGAAATAGAAATTAAAGCATTTCTCAGGCATAATGGGCCTTAAATCGATCAGTTTGAATTTTTGTCAAGATCAAACTTTTACATAAACCGCATGTTTAGATTACAAACTTTAGTGTGTCATGACCCTACTCATGGTATGAATATAGACAGATATTTCAAGCTTAGGAAAAGAGTGGTATGGATTTACATAAAATACTTATAAGGGTCTTGAATGTCAAAAGAAAGGGCAAGCGGTTTAAATGGTAATATATACAACGGTCTTACAAGACGGCCTTTGTAAGGGCTTACAATTCTAATATCTATGCCTATTATCTCAGATAACTGCCTTTTATCTCGGATAACTGATTATTATCTCGGATAACTAACTTTTTTTCATTTTTATTTAGGAAAATGATATTTTAAAGTTGAAATATTACAACTGAATGGGAGTATATCTTATGGTTATTTAATTTTAACGCAAATTATATTATTCTTACCTCCTATATTCCAATTTAACACAATATAGATAGTCGTAATCTCAAGCCAATTTCCGTGACTTTTAAATACATGTAGTAAATAAGCCGTTATATGACCATAGTTATTTTTCATATAGAAAAAAAAGTATAAAAATATATAAAATATCAGTTTATATCACGATGTGGTAAAATTAAGTATAATATAGCAATTACTTTATATGGCCATGTCACGAAATAGTAAAAACTAGTACTTTTGCAAAGAGTTTATATGGCTTTGTCATAAATAGTAAAATTAAGACCAAAAGCAGTTAGTTTTAGGCCATGTCAGCTTTAACATCAGTTAGTATATATGACAAGGTCACGGTAAAGAAAAAAAATCATTAGCAATTAGTTTATGTGGTCAAGTTATAATTAGAAGTAAAGGCCAATCGCATCTTCTCGGTCATTTCCGTCAAACTTCGGATAAGAATTATTGATAGTAGCCGAGATGTTACGATTGTTATGTTATGATTGAGTCAAAGCAAATATAAAATTCGTTTCAATACTTTATTAGAAAATATTCTGCAGTTATGTGTTCTAAGGCATTTGACTACTCTAGACAACTAATTTTCGGTTTTTCTTTTTATTTCCAGCTTGTTATTGGTAAGTAAGTTTTTATCTTGCATGTGACATTTCTGTAATAATGTTGGTTTCAAGAGAATTCAACAACTGTTTTTCTTTTGATTTAATTGTTTCAATTATTATAAAAAAATCAGTTACTTTTCTCCGATAATAATTTTAATGTTTACTCATTTGAGCCGCGTCACGACAGAGCCAACGTAATGCGTTTGCGACCAGCATGGATCCAGACCAGACTACGCATCCGCGCAGTCTGATCAGGATCCATGCTGTTCGCTATCAGTTTCTCTACTTGTAATAGAGTTTGTAAGCGAACAGCATGGATCCTGATCAGACTCCGCGGATGTGCAGGCTGGTCTGGATCCATGCTGGTCGCAAACGCACTATGTTGGTTTTGTCGTGACGCGGCTCAAATATGTTTTCGGAGGATTATGGCGCCCCATGAAAAGTCAGCTAATATGTGGCCATGATTTCTTTATCTATTTATTTATTAAATATTGTTACTACTTTATTTCCTAGCGCATATTGTCAAGACAGAAATTAATTAACGGTTATTTGAGTACAACGTCTGACACAGTATATTTATTTACCATGATTATGGATTTGATCGGGAAAAATTCCGGCTCTACCGGTGACAAATAGCTAGAACTGCTAAGCTATGTGTCTCTATGCTTATTTTCTTTCTTTTTCCTGCGCATTTCTGAAAATTTTCGTTTTATTTATTTATTTAATTCTGAAACCAAATTTCTTGCAAACTTGACTTTTTTTCAAATTATAAATTATCAAATGAGCGATCATATAAGCACATGCGCAATCAGTAACAACATATATAATATATCTTCCGAACCCTCGAAAAATAAGTAACAAATACGAAAAATGACGAAGATATCCGAATTTCTACGACCTAGTTACAAATTTTATATTTCTGTGACTTAATTTAAATTGTTTTCATTTTCACAAGTACGGAGGATGACGCGCTAGGTTCGGACAAAACGGCAGACAGCCAGGTGAATATGATGGTGGGCGGGGTAATTGCTCTTATTGGCCTTGTTCTCCTGGTCATGCTATGTTCAGATACCGTGGAACCAGGTATTATTTAACGCATTATTTATAACATTTTTTATTACAATTATGCTTTGTTGTTTAAAATTTAGTTTAAATAATATTCATTTATAAAAAAATAAGGTGCATAAAATAAAATTTACGGATTGAGTAGGAAACTTGAAAAGCTTTTTTGAAAAATCTCTCCGCGTTTAAGATTTAATATAACATAATTATATGTGAACTGTACTTTTTATGTTGAATAAAATATTATATGATTTTATGTTACGTTATGTTGTGTTGTGTTGTGTTATGTTAAACATTTAGAAATCATGTTAAACATCAACATTTCGGAAGCTAGGTAGATGTGCTTTTATAATTTTTAAGATATTTTTATTCATCTACTTTTCTTATAAGAAATTACTACGCTTATTTTAACAGCTGTACCTCCACCGTCATGGGCAGGGATTGTACATATTGATAATTCTATAAACACTGGATTTAATGGCGTCTCGGACGGTATGAGGATACTCGATCCCAACTCAGTGCTTCGGACCCGTAAGGGTGATTACGAGGCAGACGGTGCACGCTGGGGAGCACGTGAGTTTATTTTTTAGTTTATCTGAGTGAGTGAGTGAGTGAGTGAGTTAGTGAGTGAGTGAGTGAGTTGGTGAGTGAGTGAGTGAGTGAGTGAGTGAGTGAGTGAGTGAGTTGGTGAGTGAGTGAGTGAATGAATGAATGAATGAATGAATGAATGAATAATTGAATGAATGAATGAATGAATAACTGAATGAATAAATGAATGAATGATTGTATGAATGATTGAATAAATAAATGAATGATTGAATAAATGAATGAATAAATGAATGAATGAATGAATGCCTTTAGAGTTTGTCCTATATACAGCAAATTATATATTTACAGAAATGGTTTACTTGTAAGGCTCCGATCTTCCCATAGGATGGGGGAATCAATGCGTTTATCGCCTAATAGCATTGTAATGTTGGTCAATGTGTTAAATGCTTTAAGTAAATGCCATCACCTACATATGTATCTTACTTAAATATGTTAAATATGTTAAAATCAAATAATTTCTGTAAAAAAATATTGTAAATTCAGTTTACTAGTATTATGGCGCACGACCTGCACATATATTTTATAATGTAGAAGCTTAAATCTAGCATGTTTATCATTATTATTATTATTATTATTATTATTATTATTATTATTATCATTATTATTATTACTTAGCGTTGAAAACAGGAAAGCACATGTTCGAGATCTATTGGCCAAGAAATACCCGCCGGCTACTGGCAACCGTCGGCGTGGGCACTGATATCGCTCCGTTATTTGTGAAACCAAAAGAGTCGTTGGTTGGTTGCAACAAGCACACGTGGGGTTTAGATATCGCCCGTTACAAGTGTTTGCACAGGAATGAAATAATAACGAGTCTCCCTAAGAATAAAGTAGTTCCGGACACGTAAGTATTATACATAATAATAAAAATAAATCAATTCCTAAAAACATGGCCCAAAAAAATCCGTAACGTAAATAGAAATGTAAGAGATTCGGATATATAGAGAACAGCGGTTGAAATAATAATCTTTGCGAGTTGACACAAAGGCCCTATTACTTCCGGTGTATTCACATTTCACGAAAAGAGACCTTATTCCTGAAATAGAAAGGGCTTCTTTAATTTGATTAATAATGTAACAATCATGACGAGTTACGGCCCTTTAGTACATGAACGCCATTTGCAGGTAAATATACGTAAACAATACGTTGCACCGGAGACTATATTTGTTTTAAGGTTAGTTTGCTATATTCTGTTGTAAATAATAATGCGAGTATTTCTTTTATGTAATTTTAATGAAATGTATAAATAGTTTCTACTACAATGTTTTAATTGGCATTACTTGTAATGCAGACTATATGATCTATTAAGAATTATTAGCAGGTGCTCTTTTTTTTCTGTATAATTGTATTGTAAGTTGATTAGCCCAATCATAAATAGCCGTAAGAGGGCGGTTGTTGTGCAAAAGCATATATAAGCAGAGTATTCAAGGTGAGTTTGGGTTTTTGTTGGTGAAGTCAGAGTGTCAACATCTAATCTTGGAGCTTTGAAGTTATAGACCTGCTATATATATTAATCTGTGATCCGTGTTTCTCTAAGGGGACAACGCTACCGGAGAGGATTACAGGCTTTTTTATATCAGTAGAAAGTAAACCGGGGACTGCATGATATTTGTTAGATAATTATTTGAAGATAAATAAAACAGAAGGCATAGTAATACGAGCATATAGTGTTATAGGCATAGGCATGCGAGACGGGTTATAATTAAGGGGATAGAGACTAGGGATCGAAACTAGGATTTAGGATTGTTATTCAAATATATCAATGATTGTGTTTTGTTTATATAATATTTATTTAATTCAAGTTGATTAATTTATATTCCAATCATTTTGAAATCATTGGTCTTCAATCATTTAGGTAAGGAAACCTATAGGAAAATTATTAATATAATATATTGATTATAAGTACGTATTTAAGCTCGGTACACGTTACAGAATTGGCGGCAGCGACGGTGGGATAGATCTTTTATTATTTATAGATAAACACAATCACCAGTGTTTGCCCACATTTGAAGAGATACATTTTAAAGGGTACGTAAAATTTGTTATTTAAAACAAAAGAAAAATACTATAGGAAATGGCCGAGGGAAATCAACGTTCATTGATAAATGATGAAGACATGGAGATTCGAAACAGAATTTGGAAGATGGAAAATGAGAGTCTCGGACTACAACTTGAGATGGAAAGACTCAAAAATCAACTTAGCTTCATGACATTGTCATCAGCTTCCTTTGACACGGCATTGATCGCACAAGACATAATGATAGTTTACAGATAAGCAAATTTCAAATCAGATGAAAAGACAGGAAAACAACAAAGAAGTACAGCCGACGAAGAAAGATCAGTCAACAGAGACAAATGAATTTGAATATGAGAGAAATGTATCGTATAATTTGCCATCATGTATTTATTCCCCGTATAATGAGAAAAAAATGATACGTCAAATGTACATGAAAGAAGCGAGGCATTGGACAGATTTGTAACAAAAAGGCCAAGATTTCGGAATCACAATGAAAACATGACAGTTTTAAGTCAGTCATAAGAAATAATATATTGTAGGGCAGAAATATAAATAAGAATCAGTTTAAAATGTTTAAGGGGCAGATAGTTACATAACTTTTGTACATTTCTGTTTTGTTTATGTTTTAAAGTCACTATAAGTTTTATGATGAACATATCATCAATAAATACATAAATGGTAGAGTTGTTGATAATTTAACATGCGAGACGCATGACTTCGGAGGCGTGGGTAATGTAACAATCATGACGAGTTACGGCCCTTTAGTACATGAACGCCATTTGCAGGTAAATATACGTAAACAATACGTTGCACCGGAGACTATATTTGTTTAAGGTTAGTTTGCTATTATTCTGTTGTAAATAATAATGCGAGTATTTCTTTTATGTAATTTTAATGAAATGTATAAATAGTTTCTACTACAATGTTTTAATTGGCATTACTTGTAATGCAGACTATATGATCTATTAAGAATTATTAGCAGGTGCTCGTTTCTGTATAATTGTATTGTAAGTTGATTAGCCAATCATAAATAGCCGTAAGAGGGCGTTGTTGTGCAAAGCATATATAAGCAGAGGTATTCAAGGTGAGTTTGGGTTTTTGTTGGTGGAAGTCAGAGTGTCAACATCTAATCTTGGAGCTTTGAAGTTATACCTGCTATATATATTATCTGTGATCCGTGTTCTCTAGGGGACAACGCTACCGGAGAGGATTACAGGTTTTTATATAGTAGAAAGTAAACCGGGCTGCATGATATTTGTTAGATAATTATTTGAAGATAAATAAAACAGAAGGCATAGTAATACGAGCATATAGTGTTATAGGCATAGGCATCGAGACGGGTTATATTAAGGGGATAGAGACTAGGGATCGAAACTAGGATTTAGGATTGTTATCAAATATATCAATATTGTGTTTTGTTTATATAATATTTATTTAATTCAAGTTGATTAATTTATATTCCAATCATTTTGAAATCATTGGTCTTCAATCATTTAGGTAAGGAAACCTATAGGAAAATTATTAATATAATATATTGATTATAAGTACGTATTTAAGCTCGGTACACGTTGCAATAACTATATAAAGTATGTTTCGGTAAATCCTGTCAATGAGCTCCCTTTGAGACTTTTCTTAATTCTTTAAAGCTGGCTTGAATATCCTGCTTGTAAAGAGAACATTCCGTTTACGCATGTTTGTCCAGTATATTTATTTCCGGTTTGTTCACATTTCATAATACCCAAAGTGACTTTTTAGTGACTTCGCGACCTCTAAAGTTTCTATAGTGTAAAACGTTATTGTAAATATTTTGGCATAGTTCTTAATTACTTTCGTTTAATTTGTAGGCGTCGCTGGTATTTCACGGTTTTATGTTGTGACGAATTTTGTACTTAATATTCATGAAGATAGTAGCTTAAGTTGTAAAATACTGAAGCTCAAAAAAAAATATTATCAAGTGAAACACTTCCAAAAAATATTTACGGTCGATGATTTTTTATCGTCAATTATTGTACTTATATTTCTTCAAACAACGGATGGATTCTCGAATAAAAATCAGACAAAAGCGGTGCACTTTTCTTACAGATTTCGCATGTACGTAGATTGTGAAAGTGGAACGCTGGGATTCGGAAGTGAACATGTTTACTGGGGAGCTCCCATCAACATTCCTCGGTCTGAGTTTCCGGTTTATCCGATGGTTGGAACTACACAGCACAACGCCGTGATTACTATGAAGTACAAAGGATCAGGTTAAACATTCTACATTTAATCGAAAGTAAACGTATATAATGTTAGTCTATCCTGCCAAAATAGAAGCATCTCATGATGACTATCCCTGACTTGATTGTGATCGCTTATATCAAAGCATTTATTGATGGTCGTCCATTTTGTTATCATGTGGTATTAAAATCCCCATTTTGATTGGTCAGGCGGTGTGCGGGTAGAAATGCAATCGCAACTACTCGGCCTTTTCCGTCAGTCTTCGGATAAGGACCTCGAATACACAGAACGGATGAGGTATTTCGATCTAACCTACGCTAAGAAACTAAACATGTAAACAAATAGTAATTTAATGCTGGGAGTTGTTGACAAGTTTATTTTTAATATGTAGTAAAAGTTCACCTAAAATAAGTGAATTCATAGGTACAAAAGCAAACAATACATTATCTATATATTAATTATTATGGTTGCACAAACCGAAAGTACAAAAAAACCCAACCTGTTGACATTTGTCGGATTTGTTTAAAATTGAACATCAGTGGGCATATTTAAATTACAAATTGTTGTCAGACATATTTTCAATCATAAGAGTACCGGAACAGTCATTAGATGTCAAAATTTCTGTTTACATCTGAAACCACGTGGTAGAACTACTTTCAATCCGTATTGTTTCCGAGGTTATTATAGATAATAGCCGAGGCAGTTCCGAATGGGTAGAAATGGTAAAGTCTTGTTAATTATATATGTGGCCGTCCAGGAACGACGACAGTTATGATAATAAATACCTGTTACTTCTGATCATTGTAAAAGTTTTGCAAGTTAATACGTTCAAACTTGCATTTTTAGAGTAACAGGAAGTAGATGTGTTACAACAGAGTGACGTGAAATGTGTACTACTAATATAACCATAAAAGAACGCCAAAATAAGGATGAAAATAATATTAAATAAATGATGAAACGTGATCATTAAACAGTGAACATGTTTGGCCACTGAACAGTATCGTTTGTCCCTTAATTATGTAGATAACGCTGTATTGCCCAAACCCTATTGAGCATTGATAGTGAGCCCCTTTAAAACTTTTGCAAGATGTTAAATTGTATTTTTTAGCGCTCAATACAATGGGAGACACAGGCTACAATCTTCCAATGCCAGTACCAATTCCGGGACCAGTAGTGGGGCCGCTTGTGCCACCAGGACAGGTAGTGGTGCCACCGGCACCAGTTGTGGGACCGCAAGGAGCAGGAGAGAAAGTTCAACCGGGACCTTCGGACAGCTCCGAAACGTACATTGCTCCTATGCGCGTTTCTGGTATATAACAGTAATATAACACTGGTACGTATATACGTGTTTACGTTTTTTACGTTCACGGCATGTTTATCATTTATATAAAAAAAGATCATTTTTTGACTGATATAACTTGATTGTAATTATTTTTCTAGGAGCGGCATTATGTAGAGCCAAGTTCCCTTATATATGTATATAATAAATGCACATAAAGTCATGAAATTTATACATATAATATGCATAGTGAAGTATGTTACGGAATTGAGTGTGTTAATAAAATAATGAAGTTTGTACATAACGACAAAGAATATGCATGTATAATAATGAAATAATCAGTTAACATAATACAATTATTTTTTACATATACCAGTTTAATACAGATGCTACAAGGCAGGAATGGCGTTCCATATAAAACCATAGTGTTAGTGTACTTTAATTGTATAAAATATGTTTGTGTGATGAATGCAAGCAATAACCATTGTGGTGTTGTTGTTTTTTCTCTCTTTATTTTTAGATATGAATCTCTTCCAAGATGGCTAAAAAAGATGCTAAAACCTTGACTGGATTAAAGACTTTTAAAGCAAAACTTTACGTTCATATTAACGTTCAATATAAAGTTCAAATACCACAGCGGATATGACAAAGAAAATAAAATGTTCACATGGACAAAATCAACAAACATATTTTGACATTTATAATATTAATATGAATTTAAACTTTTACATGTATATCTTTTTCTGTTTTCTTTTTGTTGATATTTAGGCTTTCTTTTGCTTCTCTCTTAAGATACGGAATGCTTGTTTGTTTTTGAAATAATACCAATTTTAATGAACCGAAGAGTTTGTTCTAGATTCACCATCATGATTTTGCTGGCTTCAGAGCCACGACTGATTTTATTAGTTCACGACACGAATTGTATGAATCTGGTATCTTTGGATCTACGATCACAACACTAAAGGTATTATTCGGGAATCTTTAAATCCACGACAACGACGCTACAGGGATAACGACACGAAAGGTATGAGTCTACTTGAGTCTACTAGCTGTACATCCACCATCACGACGCTTAAGATATAATTCTGCTGACTAGAGATCAACGATAAAGACACTGAAAGGATGATTCTACTAAATCGCGATAATAAATTTGTGATTCTGATTAATATAGTCAATTCACGTATTGAAGCCACTTTTCTGGGAATACGACATAACATCATCATATTATCAAGACTTATGTGGCAAAATGCTGTATGAATGGTATACTTTGTCATAATTACCGGACCGCTAAGTCACGTGATTACCAGCCGTTAGAATAACCTCAAATATTATTTAATAATAGAAACAAACAAAAAATGATTAATAAATATACTTATGTTAATAAAAAAATTAGGACAGACAAATTTATTGAGTACTTAGCCAACTACTCAATAAATTTGTCTGTCCTAAATTTTTTATTAACATAAGTATATTTATTTTAGTGGATCAATGTATTGACTTTGGAATAAATTTAATCTTATTTTATTATCAAAGTTAATCCCAGATTATAACCTCTACCTTTGAATATGAATTATAATGCATCATCAGGTTTTTTAAAGTGCATATGCATGTAAGTGACTTTATAATCAGAATATCAAATAAATCAGATGGGATATTCGGAATCGCAGTTTAAAACATATTTGAATGATGTCATTGTAGATATTTTTGTTTGTTTTTGTTTTTGTTGTTTTTATGGTGGATGGGGTGAGGATGGTGTAACGGATGCTGAAACTGATTCATTGCAAGTTTATCATTACGCACAACCTTGGTTTCTTAGGTAGTCGCCAGAATGACTTGTTAATTAATTTAATAATTCTAATTGGATAAGGGAGGGTTCAAACCTGCAACCGTTGTAATTAACGTTTTCAATCAATGAATTAATCAATATAAAGATTGTATTTAAAATAAATTAATTGATAAAAATATAAATAAATAAATAACTATTATTTCAAGCATTCGGAATAAATATGCATTTTTTTCACTTACCTGTTCTCTCCAGAACTTTCAATGAGTGTTAAAAACAACAACAACAAAAAAGAAAACTGCGTATATCAATGTATATACATGTATATGAAAAATCGTGTTTATAACAAATTTTCCAATATACCATACAAATTATTGTATATTTGTATCATATCATATATTTCTATTGGTTTTGATACGTGTTTTTCACGCGCCTTTTTTTCTAAAGTATTAATCTTAACTTGTATTTTTATGAATACATGTTTTCAGCCACATTTGACAATTTTACAATTTATATTAAATTTCTTTTACAAACTGTCATATTTGACCGCTATTAAATGCCATCTTCTACGAATATCTCCGATAAATAGATAGTTTATTCACATAAGACGTGTACAAAATGCACATGGTCACAAAATACATACGTTCAAATATAATTAAACATCACGTAATCATCAAAGTTAACATTATTTAGTAGCAAAGTGTCATACAATGATAAAACTACATCTTTGGACTGCATTAACAAAACATGGAGAATGAAAAGAAATTAAGTAATATTACTAACAAGATAACATGTTTATAATTATGTCTGAAGATTCGGTTGATTTAATTCCCTGCGTTTAAATGCTTGTGCTATAAAATTTCCCAAATTTAACAAGACTTTTTTTCTTTTTAGAACTTAAGAAATCAATAAATTTGTACATGCTCGGATTTTTCACATAATATTTTGGTATGAATTTGTTTCTCAGGTCAGAATATTTTTTGCATGTGATTATAAAATGAAATTCATCTTCTATGTCATTACCGCAGAAATAACATAATCTTTCATTTCTTGGTTTTCGATTACGCCCATGTCTAAGAGATTCTATAAATAAATTATGCGACGACACGCGCAATCTAGTTATGCTATTACGTATTTTAAACGAATTTATTTTAATCAAGTAATCCGATATACCAAAGCTCGGTTTTAAATGTATGTACAAGGATTTCAGTATTTCATTTTTCTCAATATCTCCAAATAGTTTCTGTAAGGCAGTGTCAATCCGTTACTGTTTTCTTGAACAAATTTACAAATAATTTGAAAATTATGTTTTCATGATTTACAAAAACAGAGCTAAAACCATAATCATCAAGCAGTTTTTTTAACATGGAAAACCCAATTCTTTCTACCATTATAATGCTGCGCCAATTAATGTGCATAAACTGATTTTAATAGCATATTATCCGTATTGATAATCTTGACCCAGTATTTAATAATATGTACAAAACGAAATACATATAAAGGATAGCGACCCAATTCTGCATATATAGCTGCGTTACTTGTCGATTGTTTTATATGGAACGCCGTGACTGTCTTATGTAATCAAAGTTTTTGTTATTTTGTGAAACTATGATATTATTTTGTCTTTTGAGCGTGTTAACATGTGCAATTTACATCATGTCTTGTCAAAGGAACATGCTGACTTGTACAAACAACATTTTAACTTGTCAAATGATTATGATGACATGTGCAGACAACATCCTAACTTGTCAAAGTATCGTGATGACTTGTCCAACAACATGTTAACTTGTCAAAGTATAATGATGACTTGTGCAAATGACATGGTAACTTGTCAAAATGTAATGATGACTTGTGCAAACGACATGTTAACATGTCGAATTATTGTGATGACATGTGCAAACAGTATGTTAATTTGTCAAAGAATCGTGATAACTTGTGCAAACGCCATGTTAACTTGTCAAAGTATAATGATGACTTGTGCAAACGACATGTTAACTTGTCGAATTATCGTGATGACATGTGCAAACAGCATGTTAACTTGTCAAAGTATCATGGTGACTTGTGCAAACAGCATGTTAACATGTCAAATTACCATGATGACTTGTGAAGACAACATGTGAACTTGTCAAAGAATCGTGATGACTTGTGCAAATGACATGTTATCTTGTATCATGCTGACATGTCAAAACGTACTGTTAACTTGTCAAAGTATTATGATAACTTGTGCAAATACCATGCTAACATGTCAAAATTCCGTGATGACATGTGTAAACAGCATGTTAACTTGTCAAATTATCGTTATGACATGTGCATACAGCATGTTAACTTGTCCAAGTATCATGATGACTTGTGCAAACGACATGTTAACTTGTCCAAGTGTAATGATGACTTGTGCAAATGCCATGTTAACTTGTCAAAATTTCATGATGACATGTGCAAACAGTATGTTAACTTGTCAAAGTGTCATGATGACTTGTGCAAACGCCATGTTAACTTGTCAAAGTATAATGATGACTTGTGCAAACGACATGTTAACTTGTCGAATTATCGTGATGACATGTGCAAACAGCATGTTAACTTGTCAAAGTATCATGGTGACTTGTGCAAACAGCATGTTAACATGTCAAATAACCATGATGACTTGTGAAGACAACATGTGAACTTGTCAAAGAATCGTGATGACTTGTGCAAATGACATGTTATCTTGTATCATGCTGACATGTCAAAACGTACTGTTAACTTGTCAAAGTATTATGATAACTTGTGCAAATACCATGCTAACATGTCAAAATTCCATGATGACATGTGTAAACAGCATGTTAACTTGTCAAATTATCGTTATGACATGTGCATACAGCATGTTAACTTGTCCAAGTATCATGATGACTTGTGCAAACGACATGTTAACTTGTCCAAGTGTAATGATGACTTGTGCAAATGCCATGTTAACTTGTCAAAATTTCATGATGACATGTGCAAACAGTATGTTAACTTGTCAAACCATCGTGATAACATGTGCAAACAACATGCTATCTTGTCCAAGTATCATGGTGACTTGTGAAAGCGACATGTTAACTTGTCAAAATTTCATGATGACAAGTGCAAACAGCATGTTAACTTGTCAAGGTATCGTGATGACTTGTGCAAATGCCATGTTATCTTGTCAAATTATCATGATGACTTGTACAAACAACATGTGAACTTGTCAAAGAATCGTGATGACTTGTGCAAAACACATGTTAACTTGTTTAGGTATTTTGAGCATGTCATCACGATAATTGGACAAGTTAACATGCTGTTTGCACATGTCATCATGACATTTTGACAAGTTAACATGTCGTTTGCACAAGTCATCATGTTATTTTGACAAGTTAACATGTCGTTTGCACAAGTCATCATGATATTTTGACAAGTTACCATGTTGCCTGCACATGTCATAATGATTATTTGACAAGTTAACATGCTGTTTGGACAAGTCAGCATTGTCTTTAGACAAGATATGATGTAAATTGCACATGTTAATATGCTTAAATGACAAAATAATACCATCATTTCAGAAGATAGCAAAAATATTTATAGCATAAGACAGTCACGGCGTTCCATAGTTTTACACCAAGGATTGTTTTGCAAAACTGTAGATGAATACGCTCTAATTCACAAGACTTAGTAAACCCCCAAATAGGACAACCATAATTTAATATCGATCCTACGAATGCATCAAAAAGTTGCAATGAAATATCCGGACGAATGTTATATCTTTTGATATTATTTAACAATGTGTGCATCGCCCTAAGTGCTTTGCCTTTTAGACATTTTATATTTAAAGCGAAAGTACCAGTGTAATTCAACGTTA